CAACAACGGAAATAAGTGCAGTTACAATAGCTTAATATGTGGGGAGAGCGTTGCTATAGAGAGTGACAGTATTGTATTGCAATAGGTAGCACTTCAAAGTCAATACCAAATCAAAACTATTTAGCACATTAGTTGTAATTGAAAAGGTTTAATGACAAAATATGGTTATGGTTACACTTAAAATAGTTACAAAATAGATGTATGAGATGATGACTTATACCAATAATCTTACCCAGCCAGAGCATAAAAAGAGCAGAGCATTAAAAGAGACAGAGCAACAGTTACAGTTTTCTTTTATCCTTTCCCTGACCATGTGACTAAAACCCAAATGTGAGACATTCAAACTGACCAATCAGATAATTACACTTCCCCCATTGTTCTAAAGGTGTGACAATTCATAGACCCCCAAAGTACAAACATCTTGGCCTACAGGCCTTGATCACTATCAGACCCAGCATGTAACTCCTCTATGCCTTTGGGAACTCCAAATGGTCCTTGTGGTTGAAAGAAAGGGTGGAACACTGTAATGTTCATTTCAAATGTCTTGGATTATTTTCAATCCTACAGCAGTCTGAAGTACACCTACTGTACCTGTTTTCCTCCCTGAAGGTTCTTATGATCGAGGTGACGGTGAAGCGACTCCAGTTTGGCCGTACTCGTCGCCCAGCCTCCCTCATAGTCATACCATGGACAAGAACATGGTCAAAAGTGGCACAAATCTCATCTGAGACTGCTTGTCTCTTTCCCCTTCCCCTTTCTCATCCACCTCTCGTCTTATCCCTTCCATCGATCTATTGAAGGTTGCGATTGCTGTGTGATCAGTTTTGACTCTTTGTGTTTCCTCCTGGGTTAGGGTTAACCCTAACCCTCCTGGGTGATTGTGTGCTAATTGAGCTGAAGCTGTGCTGAATGCTATACTAAATTACAACATTGTAGGCAATGAAAAATGTAGGGATGTGTGTGTAAAGTTTTGCATGTGTCAAAACTGAGCAATAGTGTTTATAGTTTGGGGAAAAGTGTGTGCTTTTTTATAAACGGTGTTATGGTTTTGAAATTTTAGTTCAAAACCATAGTTATGGTTTCAGCAATCGAGGAAAATGTAACATGTATATACACCTTACATATACTAGATATTACTTGTTTATTTACAAGCAAGCTTGGTTGTTTGAAAATAAGAAAAAAAGACATGCATTAAAGTAATGAATTAATGATACAGTGAGATGTTAAATTAAACAAGATTCCACATATAAATAAGTTATTTAAGTTATAAGTTTCATCCAGCTATTGGCTTTTATCAACCATAAAAATATCAAATATTGTTTTTCAATAACAATGTAGTAAAGAGTAATCTTTGGAAATATTTTATTTCTTGTCTTTCTCAACAATACCACTGAAAATACACCAAATGCATATTTGTCAAACAAGCCATACGGCTGTATTTAAAAACACTGGACTGTGAGGATAAGTTCACTTGAAAAGCTCCAGCAAAACAGAGAATCAAGTCATCTGTCAACTGTAATAATATACAATATAAAGTATAATCACAACATAAAAAATGCAAGTGGTCAAGAACGAGTTTTTAAATTATGGCCTAAACGTGATGATAGAGGAATGTTCATGAGGTCACCAAAGTCATCATGTGCTTACAAGATTTCATGGGAATCTGCCCAATTAGACCAAATCAAATTTTACATTCTGGTCTAACGGTTGTGCTACAGGGAACGTCATGAGGTCAACAAAAATGACATGATTCATTGCTCAGCAAATTACAAAAATCGGTTCATAACATTTGTTGCATGCAAGTCAAAAGTTTGGCCTGACGTTGGTGCAAGAGGAAATGTCACAGGGTCACCACAATCAAGGGGGGTCTCTCTTAAAAGGGTATGAATTCACTACCCAAATATCATGTGAGCCCAGTAATTACATCTGGTAATATCATACATGCCAAGTTGATGCCATAGAAATATACAGAGCGACCGCATAAACGGAAGTTCAAAGACAATATTCTAAAGATGGCGGCGCCCTCGTTTCTCTGGTGCATAAGGTCTATAGGGCAAGTCCATTTCCTTCAACGCAGTCCTTCGTGCAGCTTCCATCTGTAGAAATACAGAAAAACAAAAAAGCAAGAATTAGAATAAGAGGGTGAATTTCAGCTGTTTTAGAACAAATAAGGTGTGTAAAGCATTAATGAAATACACAATATAAATTATTATAAACAGTAACAGGGGGTTATTCCAAAAACAGACAAATGTACATATTAATGAATAAATGACCTAAATTGTGTTTTCCTCTTCATCCTCACTGGTGTCTGGACTACTGAGGCCACTTTGACATTCCTCTTCAACATGTAGAAGGACAGAGGGCTCAGGACCTAAAGCAGTCTTGTACTGTTGGAGGACCACTTGGAGCCTTTCTGACACCTCTGATAGTCTTCTTCTTAAGAGACAGCAAAGTCCCTCATTTGTCTCAAAATACAAAAGAGATTACATTAAAGACAAACTATACTAAAATTGTTTCATTAGACCAAAGAACTTAAATGGAGTAAAAAGATATCCCCTATTCAAATCTACAAGCAGGATGGTTGGCATTTTTATGTGTATCGCTGACATGGGACCAGGCTTGCTTCTGTATAAAACGACTTGAGGCAACATGACGGGTCACCGAGGTGACTTTATGGAGGAAGGCCCAAAGTTTTGTGCCCATGTTTGATAACTGTTAACTTAAAACAGGTTTCTTCACTACAGTTGTGCTGAATTAACGCATTGTTACTTGCTGACCAGCCAGGTTTTCTATGTTGACTGGAGGAGATAATAATATTGATGTTATGCTAACCCCATGTAACATATCAGGACACAAAGTCCAATGTTTCAAGTAACAGCCATAGTACAACAAATCTGCACATCTTTCAAGCAAATGTGAATCTTTATAGTCTTACTGACTTGTTACAATAGCTACAGTAACAAGTTGAATCCCTATTTTATGTTCATACCAAATGGCTACGGCAAAGCAATAACCAATCTACTCCATCCAAGTTCTGTGACTGAGACTGATGAGTGTTTTTTTTTTTTTTTCACATTAAATGGACAGGGTTTTAATTTAACTTACCCTCCTCAGCCAATTTGTTTTTGAGAACCATTGCCAGGCTCTGCAACCATGTGCAGTGTTGTGCCATCTCCAACACCAAAACACTTGTTTCCTCATGCAGTCGCATTGTTAACATCACTTGGTCATGCACTTGTTTCTTGATTGAAATGTTTGCTAAGAATCAATTACAGTTATATGTACACATGAGACAATCTTGCATAATCACTACAAACATTTAGTTTTTTATCAAATTGATACATAAGAAAACTGAGAATACACCATTAAACTAAATGAATATTACAACACTCAATATGTAACATGCATGCCTTAGTTCAGTAATATACTGAACTCAGTATACTCTAGCAGAACTGTAAATAAATTCCTTTGAAGCATCTGAAAACAGACATACCACTGCCATGAACCTCCCACGGCCATATTTGAGACACCGTACTCTCTCCAGTTAGGGAATGCTCCACCACAGCTACGTCAATGTTTGTTGCAGTGTGTAGTACAAGATCATTGTATTTATTTATCTCCTGAAGAAGGAGCTTTTTGTCTTCTGCCAGCTTCCTTCGAAGGCGATGGCGAAACTTGCTGCTGTCTAGAAAGACATGAAGTATAGGGGCAGAGGTGTGAGGCAAGAAAAAAAAAAAAATGTGAAAAGCAAAGCTGCAGTTTTTGTAGTATGTGAAAATTATAATGTAGACTGAACTGGGTAACAAAGGTCCAGTGTTTAACATTTTGGGGGGAATCTATTGGCAGGAATAACACACACGCGCACACACACACACACACACACACACACACACACACACACACACACACACACACACACACACACACACACACACACACACACACACACACACACACACACACACACACACACACACACACACACACACACACACACTTACTTTTCATGATCGCCTGAAAATAATAATTGTGCATTAATTACTTCAAACATCACTGAGAGATACCACTAAATTCTACAGACTGGTCATTTAAAGAACAGAATTCAATGATTGAGCTAAACTGTGCTACTACATTATTTGCTAATTCCATGTTGGTGGAGTAGGATGCATACAGTAGCTTGAATTTGTCAACCTATCATATTTTATAGTTATACCATTCTGACGGTAGAGGGTTCGCTTCCGCTGCCTCACACTAAGGTAGAGCCCCTCAATTGATTGCTGAAGTCCTCTGTGTGTGGTGCCTTGACTGGCATGAGTTGTATCAGTTGTCTCTGTAGAAGAAATAGTGAAAGCAAATTCACTGTTAAAACAACACAGAACCGTTTCTCTGTTTGAATTTGTATGTAAAACCTTTTAATCCAACTTAATTAAACTTGGTATGTGCACTTCCTGCAGGGAAACTGGAAAATACTAATAAACCTGACATAAATGTGGCATCACATTAGATGTTGACACATAGTTGGCTGGTCTTCGGTGGCAGGTGATGTCACCAACTGTATTGTAATCCATAGATCATCAGCCTAATATTTTTTTGCTGCTCTTTAATATCAAACTTAAAATTTTGATAGTGGGAAAGGATGTTTGTTGTTTCTTTTATCTGGTCATTCTTACCACCAGCTGCCCATTCCTTCACATCAGATAGCCACTGTGACACCACTTCATCTGTGCAATGTAGCTCTGTTTTTAGGTCAGCTAGCCTTGCAGTCTCATCCTGGAGTCTCTGACAAGTCTGATGAACAGTGTTATACAATAATCAGGATTAAAACTTTGTATGATTAACAACAGGCCAAGTTAACACAACAAAAGGACACACAAAACAATTAATGGGAGACTTACCTTCACATATCTTGTGGAAAGTGCCTGATGTAAAGAGAGATTTTTTTTCTCGTTCCAACCCATTGCATGCAATGTAAGCATGTCCACCCGTGCTGTTGAAAGCAAATAATGAGGTTATGATGATCAATCTAAAAAAAGTATACAAGAATACTGCAAACACTCTGATCACCTGCTTTGGACATGTATTTGGTCGTCAGGGCACAACGTGAGAGGTAGCTGTTCACTTGCTCCACCTTCTCACCAGCGGTTGTCCCTGCTCCTTCCTGGTTCCTGCCACTCCATTTAATCTGTTAATAAAGGGTGGAAGAAATTCAATTAAATTTTATTTATATAGCCCAATATCACAAACAACAATTTGCATCAAAGGGCATTCCAATCTGTGCCCAGACTGATCTCATGAAATGGCGTATGTATGACACGCCAATTCATATTTCCATTTTTGGCATGCTATCAACACGCATAATCGCTTTTCAGCGTGTTTATCAACGACTTAACCCTACATTACTATATATATATATATACACATATATCACCTACCCCAACCCCATCCCTAAACCTACCCGTCACTGGGGTAATACCATTTATGACTCTACCCCTACCATCCTATGGAAAAAAAATATCGCTCCCCAGATGTAGATATACATTTTGCTTAATTTCGCTCGGACATTTAAAGCAGCGCTCAGTAAGACTGGCAATTTCTTTGCTGTTTTCTCGCAGGTTTCTCTCTCGAGCTCCCCCTACAGTTTCGGAGTATATATATATATATGAGAAAACTGTCTTAAACTCGTTGTCAACTCTACCCCCTCCCATCTCGCTCAGGCCATGTGCATTTGTTTTCAGAGAAGCCGGCGAACAAACGGAGCCATGTCCACTGAGGTATGTATGATTCTCAGAACAATATCATATAAATGTTATTGCATATTTGTATAGTGGAGATAGTGTATATTTTTATAGTGTTGCCAAACGTAATCAGTAACATTATGGCGAAAAACAATACTATAAGAAATATTTCAGCTATTTATTTATTTTTAGTTTAGCCTACAGCTATAGCTACTTAGATTATGCATTATCAAAATAAATGTTACGTTACATTCTTTTATAATTTTGCCGGTGATCCGAGTTGTCCATCATAACGATTGACCAAACAAAGTCAAACACGTAGCCTAGTTTGTTTATTTATTTTTCAAGAATACGTGTACTATGGTAAGGCTATAATTTATTAGTTCATAACGTTTGGTTTGAAATTTCATAATAACAGTGGTCAGTCTCCCGTTTCCTCTTTGGTCCACTGACAAAGATTTCCGAGCTTTCTTCTTCTTTTTTACATCAGCCATTACGAAAACTTGAAGAATTCAATATCTAGCGTTACCTTTTTCTTATAGCTAGCCGGATACTGGATGGATGGCGGCCCGCCGGCCCAAAGTTGCAAGGGTGGTTTTGCGGCTCACAGGCACCAGGGGGGTGCGAGACGACCACCATTTAACACGAAATCAGTAATATAAACATTACAATGACTCCAAAGCTGTTCGGTTAAGGTAAAAAAATTACTTAGTTCACTTTTAACGGCTCGGACATTTAACGGTGTACACATACACGCGGAATCACTTGGACATTTAACGGTGTAGACATACACGCAAAAGATGACGGTTCGTTTCGGCGTGGACATTCACGCGGATAGCTCAAAATGCGTATAGATAACACGCCACTTGACTTGAAAGTGGCATGTATGTTTACGCAAAGTCATGATGTCATGTTGCTGTGCAAGAATTGGTTATGCAAAAAGACAAGCTATAGTGTATCTTAACTTCAATTTCATATTATTAATGTGCTTGTAAATCCTACAAATGTACATATGATGCCAAAATACTATACACACCTCACACTTAGTAGCATGGGCTCGAGCATGCATCACACTGAGAAAGGGTTTCATAGTGGTCAGCTCCTGAAGAGCAGGAAGAACACTAGCAGCTTTCTCCAAGTATGGCCAGTATTTGCAAGCCACGTCCATCGCGAAGAATTGTGCCTTGGCTGGCATGAGGTCCTTCTGAAGATACATAGGGTAGGCAAATATCTCCCCCCTGTACATATTAAGGGCTTTCAGAAGGAATCCATGGCGGCACACAGAAACCTCTATCCCCTCTTCATCCAATTTTGAAGCCCTCCTTGAAATTTCCCTCACTGCTGTCCACTGGGAGTCCCCACATGTGCCTCTTCCCTGTGTCTATGACACACAAAACAAACATGACAAATCAAATAAAAGCAATGGTGTCATTCAATATATGGCATTTATTCTCTCAATTTGATTTTGTAGTTGGTAGGCAGAAGTAATTGAAGTGGGGTTATGGTTAATATTGTAACAACTATTTTGTCAACTTGCATTTCTCACTGCTTTCTGTATGGTGTCGACAAATCTAGACACCGCACTGTCTTCAGCCACAAAGAGCCCCTCAAAAAAGCCAGGATCATCAGAGCTGAGGAAAAAAAAAAAAAAAAAAAATCCGTCCATGAAATATATAAAGTAAGAAAATAAATCAGTAAAAAGACTGAAAGAAAGATCACCTTCCGTTTCGGCGAAAGCGATATAGCTTTCTGTTTCCATCTGCTGAAACGGCCAACATTTCCGGCGTGCAGGCTGGGCAGGTGAAAGGAGCACTACAGCAGAGCTGGTCTTCCTCAAATGATGCATATGAAAGCTCTAAGAAGCTGCGCTGCAGTGCATCGCCGTTGATAGGTCCAGACTGGAAAATATATAGAATTAAATAGTATTTGTGATATTGTCTGCTTTTGGAAAGAAATGTTATAATATGGTAAAAACATTTACACTTACTCTTCCTCCACACTTAGTGCGATGCTCCAGCAGCTTTGCGAAGGCTTGTCTGGAGAATCCCGGAGAAATGATCATGAGTTCCTGAAGGGAGCTCAGGAGGTCCAGTGTATAAAGTGTGGAGTTCTGGACAGAGGCTGGCCAATATCCACTTCTTAGGAGGTCCTTCATGTCACGGGTCCACTGCTGCTGGCATGTTTGACATACATATAGTGGCTGATGCAAGTCAAAACGCCCTTGGAACAAGAAAAAAATAATAATAAAATACACATTTAATTACCACATACTTAATACGTACACTAGTGTGAAAAACATCAAATCTACAATAAAAATCTAAATATTGATTTTTATTTTTTACCATTGATCGTAATTAAAATCACTGGTTTGCCTGGTAACACAGTGAAGTTTGTGGCTCCACAGGAGCAGTCTGGCACCTTCACAGTTGGCAAAATGCAAGCTGGCAAAAAGAAGGATAACCAATAATTTAGATTATCTGTAACTGTCTGCAGACATACATTGAAACGCAAAATTAGGGCTTTCATGAGAATGTACCTTGCTCATGGGTGCAATATCCATCTTCCCCTTTAATGATGCATGAGGTTGGAGGAATGGGTTGAAAAAACCCACGAATCACGCATTCCCGGTTGTGGAGTGGCTGTTTTTTGTGATGCAATACATCACAGTCCCCACAGAACCACTCCTCAGGAAGACACTCTCTGCACCTAGGGAGAAAGTAAAACAATATTCTAATATAATACATTATTTCAGGTGAATAACTCATAAAGTACGGCAGGGGTAGAAACAAAACTCACTTTTGCACTCACACTCTCTCACACTTACACACAATCTCTCTCTCACATGCATGCACTCACACTACACTACACTACACACACACACACACACACACACACACACACACACAGGATGTTCGGGCTAATAAAAGTGTGGAAATTTTAGGTCCTGTGTACCTTTACTCTGTCCTCCTCCTGTCAGGGCTTGCTGTTAGTGTGTGTGTGGGTTATTGTATATGGTTTTTGAGGACACAAATGTGATGACATGGGTATTACAACGTAAACATGGTTTATGAGGACGTCTGTGTCCTCATAAACCAAACGGCTTAAAAAAACATACTAAATGGTGTTTTTTGAAATTCAAAAAGGGCCAAAAGTTTTCTGTGATTGGTAGGTTTAGGGGTAGGATTAGTGTATGGGATAGATTATACAGTTTGTACATTTGTAAAACCATTACACCTATGGAGAGTCCCCATAAACCACATAGGCTATCCAAGTGTGTGTGTGTGTGTGTGTGGGGGGGGGGGGGGGGGGGGGGAGTTGTAACTTGGTGTAAGTTATACAGTGTGTGGTCATTGAAAATGTGTTCGGATATATGTTCTTCACAGAAAGTGAGCCAAGGCCAATGAGTCTGAGGTTGAAAAAAATATTAATTGTATAATTTTTATTTTGATAAAAAATGAAAACGGGTCTGTAATACAGGGTTAAAGGCAGCGTACAGTAGGCTATAACGTTAGATAAAGTGATAATATTTTTATTACTGACACATTACAGTGACCTTATGAGTGAACCACGATGATCGAGAGAAAATGACATCATCTAGATAAATAGAGTTAGCTTATGTTGAAGTTGGCTAACGTTAGCCATTTAGCAAGCCTAATTTCACAGTTTGTTTTTTCTTTCTGATATTGAGGATACCTTTAATTCGTCGGGCTTTAATTCGTTGCCCTACCCTGTAAACCATGTGAATAATACATTTTCAAGGAAGTCATCGATTTTTATAGCATTTAAGCAAAACGTGATCGTTACGTATGACTCTATGAGCCTGCAACTTACCTGGAAAGTGGTTTTGAGCGCAATGAGAAATCAAGCGGGCTGGCTCCGTCTCCATAGCAACGGAAGCTGATGATCATGGGTAATGCTGGAAACAAATAAAACTGATGGCCATAACATACTATTGTTGAATTATCAAGCACACTTTCGCGTTTGTGTTGAAAAAAGATGAGGATATAATTAAAAGACAATCGGTGGTGGAGGGTCCTCAGTTTTTTCTGTCGTCTTCAACATAACGGCCGATAAGGCTCGTGGGAAATGTAGTTAATGTTAGATTTAACACACCAAACCGATGGAAAACCGGTATTTCTCCGAAAAGAAAGGGCAACATTTAGCCGTACTCTGCAGTCCCGTTCAGGAAGAATATATTTACGTTACTATATGTATTATAGGCCTATATTTGGGCTATTATAGCACTGACGATTGTTTACAATGTGAGTAGCCTAGATTATAAAGCAATAAAACAATGATTAAACTCTCCTGATTAAATTTTGAGTAATGCAACCCTTAAAGTTGGCAAAATAATTAAGTGAGGAAAAAACAATAGCTTAACTGTGCTCTCTAAAGAAAAACGTGGTACGGACACGAAAAGTATGTCCCATTGAAATACATTGGATTGAAAGTCGTGCTGAGTGACACGAAAAAAAGAAGGAAATTCGTGCCCATGGACACGAATCATCATTTGATTCATGTTGCGTAGCCCACCGAATATAAAGCAATAAAAACAAGGATTAAAATATTCTTATTAATTGTTGGTAGGGCAGTGTATACCTTGAAGTTTGCAAAATTAATAAAAATTGAGGGGGGAAAATCCTCTCGAAAGAAAAACGTGGCACAGACACGAAAAGTGTGTCCCATTGAAATACATTGGATTGAAAGTCGTGCTGAGTGACACGAAAAAAAGAAGGAAATTCGTGCCCCTAGACACGAATAATCATTTGATTAATGTTGCGTAGCCCACCATATAAAGCAATAAAAACAAGGATTAAAATCTTCTTATTAATTGTTGGTAGGGCTTAGTGTAGGCTACCCTTGAAGTTTGTAAAATGAATAAGAATTGAGAAAAAAAATACTGTGCTCTCGAAAGAAAAACGTGGTGTAGGCACGAAAA